AAATCGGGTTCTTGGTGTTCTATATCATTTTAATGAGGCGATAACCCAAACTATTCCTCATATTAGATAATACTGATCAAAAGAAAACTCTCTATTCTATATGCAGTGAAGGTAGAATTCATTTCAGTCTCATCAATCTTGTAACAGTGTTTTCCTCTTGCAGTCTTGCTTCAAAATCAGAATTTCTTCTTGACTTGAAATTTGCCAAAGTTAGCTGACTGTGTAGGTTCTAGGTCCTTTGATTTTTAATGCAAGTGGCTGAAAACCATTTTTTGTCTGTTTTCCTGTTTTACACTAGGTAATAAAGATGAAAGCCATTTTTGCATTTGAACTCATATGTTTGTAGTAAAACTGTGAGAGGAGCAAAAGTAACTATTTCTTGTGTATAACCTAACATCCCTACTGTGCGGATTGGCTAGTTTAACTTGATTTTTATTGTGTCTTCCTGGCTGAACATTTAACTGAAATAGAATGTAAGAGCAGATGAAAATAGCATGCACATGTATCTGAAAGCTGTGGTAGACAATTAGCAGAATAATGACTGCTGTGGCTCTCTAGAAATCCTGCCCCAGTGACTCAGTGGAAACAAAGGCTATTGAGGAATCCCTTCTGTCTGCATTACTTCTTTGCCCCAAGATGTCTGTACCCTCCACAGGCAAGAATTAAGGACACTTAGCAAGTGTAAACTTTGAGCAAGTGTAAGCTCTTATCTGTTGTCAAAAAGGTTTAGTACTGTGCAGGAAAGCACTGGACCTTGATGCTGATCTGTGTGAATAAAGGCATGTGCAAGCAAGCAAACCTACAGTATGAGCAAACACTGTCATGTAGCATGGCTTCATACTGAACTTGTTGTTTTCTGGTGGTCACACATGTGTACTGTCAATGTCATAATGCTAACAGGACATAATTTTGCTCTAACTGTACAAGCAAATATTAAATTCTGGCTACTCCTTCAGAAAAACTAGTACAATATGTAGCTCTATGTAGACAGGTCATGCTTCCCTCTCCCTGTGCCAATTTAACTTACAGACAGTAAAAATGAGTGGAAGACAACTGGTTTATTCTCTCATTGACAAATGGCACTTAGTAAATTTAATACACAGACTATGTGAATAACAGAAATTCCTCCTTAACTTTATAGTGAAAACAAAGCCACATTTTTAAGGTTACTACTGTTGGTGTAAAACAATTCCTCTCAATAAAACATAGCAGTATTTAGGGGGTTTTTTGCAGGTTTTATACACGGCAGACACAGACCTCACTTGCATCAAAATGAACAGACAATAACCAATGTCTCCCTTACATATGGAAATACCTTACTAGGTGCACAGCATACATAGAGTCCATTAAGCCTGCTTTCATGAAAGCAAGATTTAAAATGCTGTGATTTAATGACGTAACTGGCATGTTTGAATGACTGGAGGAGTCTGGACTTTGCTGAAGAATTACTATTAATCTGAGTAGGTGTAGTCAGGTTTTGAAGTTACTGAGATCCTATTTTATGTGGTTTGGAAACAAAATACTAATTCTTGAGAAATTCTAAACTACTTCCCTGACTAGGTGCACTCATAAACACACATTTCTTATGTTTTCCTTGATAGTGTCTGATTTCTGTTGAATGGAAATAATGCTGAAGAAACTAACCAGGTTGTAGAAAAACATGCAGATATCATATAAAACACACATTGGTTAGAAAAATGTAGACCAAACGATCTTTTCTTTTAAGGAGACATTTTGTCTGGAATTATGTCATGCATCAAATCAACAGTACATCTCTGCTCTTGGACTCAAATATAATTAAATAGAAAACTGAAGAATGTAGCATCTTCTAAGTACTTCTGCTTGTATCATTTAATCTTGGGTAATTATTTAATCATATCTAAAATGTACAGGAGTAGAATTTCCATCTGTTTTTCTGAAAGCTGATAAATATTAGTTGTCACTGAAGTAAAACAATTGTAAATCATGACTGACAGTAATTTGTTTTGTGGATTAGAAAAACTGCCACATTGTGATAACGCGAATGTCTCAGATTTCCAAGTACAAAACTTCACAAGTCTATCGTACAACTGAGCTATTAAAATTGAAAATTTATTATTTAGAACACGTATTTCATACAGGGAAACTGTAAATGAGCTGAGCAGTTGATTGTTAACTTGTACCTTGGTCAGACATAAATTTGGGCTGCATTGCAGCACACAGAAAATATCTGTGCTCAGCATGGCAAAATTGTCAGTTACTGATTTCATCATTCAGCGAGGTAACTTTCTAACTTTATAGTTCTCAAAAATAGATTGGCAAGTTTTCAGTTGCAGTGTGATTATACTGGTGCTCAGCTGAGTGATCATGGTGGGAGCAAGGTGATCATGTGGGAAGCATGGTATTGCAGCCAGCATGCTGGAAGACTTATGCTGGGATATGATTTATACAGAAGTCAAGGAGAGTCAACTGTCTTTTATGGCTGGTTGATAAGTCTATAGTCTAGGCTGGAAAAGAAATGCATTGTCTTTAGAGCAAAGCAAGAAACAAACTGCAGCAGTTAGATCTGGTCAATTATTATTTCTCCTTTATAGCTTTTTTAAATGAAGATAAAATTTCATGGATGCAGTGAACTGTTGATTTATTTGCTTGTTTTTAAGACCATCTGTCTTTTCATGGTCTGTGTTTCTTCACATACTAAGGAAAAATCACAACTCTGTTCTTGACAAAAAGTAAAAGATTGGTTTCGGTTAAAACATTTTATTCAAAGTTTTCTATAAAATATGCAAAAATATTTCACTGAGATAGAGCTGTAGCCCCCTCCCCTGATGCCAAAAACCCCACCACTCACTCAAACCCAGGACAATGTCTTATCAGGAAAAAACAATGCCTTGATCAGCTATATTAGATCCAGTCTGTTTTTTTTTTTTTTTTTCCAAAAAGGCAAAAGCTAATGGCAGCCCTGATGATTGTACAGAGGAAAGATCTGGAAAAACATTGCATAGAGAATACCCCTTAGCTCCCTACGCTTTCCAATGGTGCAATAGTAATTACTCTTAAAGAGCAATTTGCACACACACCCTGCAGTAAAGCAGAGTAAAGTTATTCCCAGCATTTATTATCCAGTGAAGGTTTATAGAAAGCCTGTGGTAGTATTTTTAGTGACAATTTGGATCAGTGGGTGTCTGCAGTTGCACAGATCTGTGTAATACCCACCTCTTGTTCAGGGTATTTCATTATGTGTATGTTAGATACATACATTGCCATTCCAAATTAAATATTTCAGTACACAATACATGCATGCATGTGTGAATGTAAGTTTATAAAATCTACATTTCTAGCCCTTGTGACTGTAAATATGAATCAATAATAACCAATGCATGGATTAAGAACTATCTTCAGAAATAAGATCACAGCTGTCTCCCAGTTTCACTGTTTGACTGTTTTTGGTTTTCTGTTGTTGATCCTGAGTTTTGTTTATTTTTATACGCATGGACCACTGAGCAAGCCAGAAAATTGATGTCAGCACAGGTTGTCATGATAGATTTGTTCGCAGCATCAAAGGATTTGCAAATGCAAAACAAACTCCCTGCAGAGTGCAAAATAGAGACGTGTGTAAAATAGGCTGTTGCTGTTATTTAATCCTTGTAACAAATGTGTAAATACTTAGCCCTCATTTCCTCTTTCTGCTCACTGTTTCATCTATATGAGTGGTGTCTGATCATAGAAAATTAATCAGTTTTTTTACTCGCAGAAAAAATTGTGCAAAGGAACAATTTTACACAGGCAACCTCTTTCTACAGTTGCATTCAGAATCATTCCCGCTTACTCTTTTTTATTCATTTCAGAGTACAGGATGGGCAGAAATTACCCGTGTAGTTGCTCTTCCTCCCCTTAGCAGTTTGTTAGAGGTGCTAGGTTATGTTCTAGTTACTGTTATGTGCTCACCTTCCATGGCATCAGAGAAAAGCCTCAGCTGCATCTGTGATATTTGCTTCTTTGGACTCTGATGCATGAGTGCAGCAAATCCTACTTCACGAGCTCAGGTTTCTGTCCACCATGCTGCATGAACTATCTCTTCATCAGCATGGGTGACAGGACAGGATATTTTCTGCATCTCAGCCGCTGCAGTGGCCCATATGCATATAACCACAGACCTTCCTTTTTCATGCTTTTAGGTGAATACATCAGACCATGAATCAAGATGGCTGTAAGGCACATTTTTGTTATATATAACAGTAACATCAGGCAGGGGTTTGGGACAGGAAGCCGACCCAGCAGCCCGCAGCAGCAGCATCCATTTGCCAGAAACCTCAGGGTGCAATTTTGCATTAGATTTAGGACAGCCTTGTGTCAGGGTGCTGCAGTAGGTTTTCTCCCTTATTTTGGTTTTGGGATTTTTTTTTTTTTTTAATTATATTGTGACTTTAGCAATTTGGTCTTGAGACAACTTTGGTCTGTGTAAAGTGGTACCATTTCCATCCTGACAATCTTGAATGATACCACTTCTGGCTGCTTGCTCCCAGTCCCTCGTTTCCACTGCCACAAGCACCTTTGGTTTTCTGGTCCTTCAGTGAGAGAGTTCAGGGCACTAAATCAGCAGGAAAATATTTGCAATTCATTATAGTACACCTCTGCTGACATAAGAGTTGTCAGACTTTTGATAAATCTCCATGATACATGAATCAGGACACTCTTCTCTTTTTCAGTGTATGACAAGAGAACACATATAAGTCCATCTGTCCAAGGTCCTATCTGTACAAATAGCCCTTGTCCTGAGTCCAGTCTTGTTAAACGTCTGAGAGAGTTTCCTTCCTTGCATTCAAAAAATGCCTGCTGTAATGGAAGAATATTGACTAAGATTTAAAAAAGAAGAATTCTGCTTGTGCTCCATTTCTTTCTCTAATTCCTCAACATTTCATCATTATAATTTTTCAGTGTCTTAAGGATTTTTGTGAATTTATTTTTTTTTTTCTGTCCATGTTATAATCATTTCTCCATTTTTATCTCTTGTGTTTCAGTTGCGATCGAGCTCAGAGATTGGCCAGGACATTCTGAATGACTGCCTCGCAATCCAGCCCCTCCAGCCAGCTCTGTCGTCACATGATGCTGCAGATAACACCATGGGACACTCCCCAGGGCCAGATCACGATACTTACCCAGGTATAGAAAAAGACAGATAAACAGTCTACTATATTATTGCTCATTTAAGACTAGGGATGATTTTGCAGAGTAGGATCTACTCTGAAATCCATATCTTCTCTGATGAGAAGGATAGAATCTTCAAAGTAATATGAAAAGATAGGTTTTCAATAGACTTTTACATGTTTTTTGAAGGGAGACAGGACAAATCGTATTTTATCCGTGAAAAGACCTACTGCGACAAAGAGCAATTTTTTAATCTATAGGCATTTGACTTCTGCTAGCAATTCACTTTAGACATCTTGAATTCATTAAGCTTCATTTAAAATCAAACGAGTACTTTTCCTCTTCCTGATGCATGGATCACATAGCAGTTTTCCAATATATCTACATTAATGAATTTAAATGCTGCATTATGATCTCTCATATTATGACTATAAATACACCAATAAACACATTTATGCTATAAATGTGATAAACCTATATTATCGTTTCGGTTAAGTGTCTGAGATTTTCATATTAAAGTACCTAACTCCATCATACCTGGATAAATGTACAGTTGTTCACATTTCAGCTAAATTTGAAACATCTGATAAGTTATGAGTGATATACATCTCAAACCTCAAGACAATGATGGCCAGGATGTTCACATTTTTTAATGCAGTATTTTAGTAGTTGTAAAGACATCTGTCTTTAATTTTCAGGCAGAATGCATTACATGTTCTAGCAGTTCAACTTTTAATTGAGAACCAGAGGTAGGAAGTGAAAGAATTGGCTGAATGTTATGTGCAGTGCTGAAAATGACATTACATGAAGTGGCCACTTCAATAAGTGGTTTTATTTTACTGAGAAGCTTGTAAACCTATCAATTCTATGATATGTTTTTGTCAAGGCTGTTGTGAGCTACGTGCTAGTTGTTGATGATGTAGGTTTATGTGACAAAACCCAGGAAATTTAAAGCTGTGATTGACTGTAGCCTAATTTATACAACAGTTGGTATTGCCTGTATGCTGTTAACTTTTAAGTGCCTTAGTATGAGTATAAGCTGAGTGTGACATCTGTTATTTGAAAGCTAAAGGAAATTTCAGATTCTAAAGATCTGATTTTGGCCAGGGAACCTCTAGTGACACAATGTTGGTTTTAGTTGTTTATTTTACGTTGTACTTTGAGAGGGAGGTGGATAGTGAAGAATGTTGAGATCTACTGGCATTACCCACTGTAATGCACAAAACTGAGAGAGAAAAAAAAGACTAAGCTTTTCCTTTTCCTTTCAAGTCCCTAGATAGGAAGGAAGCTAGTTGGGGGCAGCGCGTCAGATGAGCTTAGACCAGGTTTTCAGAAATTGAGGACAGGAGATTGCCACTGGCTTCTGTTGAGCACTCAGCTCTTTTACCAGTTTAGCTTCCAGACTACAATTAAGTATCAAACTCCCACTGCTGGGTCAATCCAAACCTAGGCTGACAACAGCCTGAACAAACTGCTGCCCCATGACTTGTCAGGATCCAAAGCCAAGTAAAGCTGTTGCCTCCAGCCAGCCCTTAGCTGGCAATTGTCTGCAGTCATGATGTCCCAGACAGCTTCTGAGACTGTGGCATTACTTTCTGTAGTCTCATTCATACCTTCTCTTTCAATACTTGATGTTTACAGTGTTGGTAACTATGGACATTCTTTGATATATTTTTTTTTTCTTATTTGGCACTGCTTCCTATTGTGCAGCAATTTTTATAGTGTTAATCAACATGCTTTTATCAGCATTAATTTCTCTATAAGTAATAAACTGCTTTCCCTTGCATGTGGTCACAGCTATTCATAACTTCAAAAATTTGTTGTAGTTTATTTGCTTGTGTTGTTTCACATCAATTAACTGAGGTTATTATATCAGGTATAGATAAATCCATGCCATTTCATTTTGACAACCACCCAATCCAGTTGAAATTAATTATTTTATTAGTTGCTCATCAGGGCTGCTACACAGTAATATACTATGTGAATAAGTGAGGTAATTCCAACAGGGAGGGAATTATTTTATTGAAACAGCAACATGAAAATTATTCATGCCCCAAGGAGAGAAAAGTGAAACATCCGAAAACTGAAGTGATGTGTCCTAGAGAAGCTACCCTTCATGGTTCTCTGAAAACAACATTTTTTCTAGATACAAAGAAAAATTTTGAGACTTTCCTGAAAAATAAAGTATGTAACTTTTACTGGGAGCTGTTAGAGGCAGCATATTAGCTGAAATGTGTCTGTGCTACTTTTCGAGTAGAAACAGGAACAGATTTCTGTTCTTCCAATGCCATTAAATCAGACTTTTCTCAGTTGAAGTTTACTTTTCTTATCTTTTATGCACCTTTAAAGCAAAGGTATGTTTTATCCTTTCCTAAGAGTTCTACAGAATAAATGTTTGAATGCAAACTACTAGAAATGTGTAAGAGATGACAAAAGTAGACGTTTAGATAATAGTCCATTTCCACATAGCAAATTACAGCAATGCCTGCAATGATCACCATTTCTCTGTACTGTTAAAGTACAGAATCTGCACAGATATATTGAAATGAAATACAACAATCTTCTGGATTACCTATCTATTACTTAAAGCTACAACTGCATAAATATTTGTTCTTATCTTGTGGTCTTTGTGACTTTATAAAAGAAATCTGAACTGAGAATAATCTTAATAGTACAGTGGGGTAACATGAAAGATCCTTTGCTTAAAACTAACACAAAATTACATTTACAAGCCTAAAGTTAAGCAAGCATACATACTCTTCTAGGGCTAATCATAGTGATATTTTGTAAAACAGAAATTCAAAGTCTGTTTCTACTGAAGTGCAAAATTTCTTGTAGCATCTAGGTTTTAGTTTTTAAAAATACATAGATTTTGGGGTTTATTCAGTTCATAGAATGAAGATGTGAGCAATTAATTCATAATAAGAACATATGGTGTTTTTTCTACTATGAAGTCACATCAACTTACTTTGTGTAGTGCAATCGAGAATTCCTGAGCCTGAAAGAGTCACAAATAATGTAATGCACAAAAATTTTTTTTTACTATGCTGTTTGGTTAAAGCTTGACCATTTAATATTTCAGAATAAACCAGAATGCGTCATTCATTTATAAATGGCTACTGAATATCACACTCTGATCTGCTCCAGAGCAAGTCAACGATATTACTATAGCTTGTCAAGTGCATGATTTTCTCTGCAAGTTGGAAAATAAAAATTACATCAGGAAAGTTACAGAAGGTTTTGCAGTTCTAAGTGCATTTTAAATAATGTCTTATGCTGCAGTACTGTGAAACTTTGACATAACTGCTTTTATGCCTATTACTTAAGATGTGCTCTACTTAACACTTACTTGTGTGGTTTTTTTTTTTCTTTTTTCAATTAAATAGTACTGAGCTAGGTGCTCTACACACATAATAAGAAAGAATTAATTCATAAAGGAGTTTATATCTAACATAATGTTAGAGCAGTAGGGAGATGTAACAGGTAGTCAGAGGATAGAGGACTCATACAGGAAAAATTAAATAATTTTATTAAAACAATTGTCCCAGTGAGTGATCTCCCTAACCATTAGGCTCCATGGGCTGTGTGGGAGATGTCTGAGGAAAAAGCAGTCTGTTAAAGCTGACAGCCTTAGGAAGTAGTTATGGGTCATTACCAGGATTAAAAAGGAATGAGATGCAAGAACTGCAATATGAATGGCCATTGCATTGAAAAATTGAATTGTATTTGATGCATAGGGAACGGATGTAAAAGAGGAGGTGATGTAGGGTAACCAACAATTAAGAGGATCTCTGTTGTCACCTTTTTGGATGAATTTAAATAGGGCATACATATCCAGAATTCCTACTGAATGTGATGTATTACCATGTAGGACCATACACACATTATAGGGATCTGAAAAGTGTTAATATCTTACCTATTTTAAAGAGGATAGTTTATTGCCTTCAGACTTGTCCTTTTATTCACCAGTTTTACTTCTGAGTTTATAATTTCCATTTTGAGACAGCTTAATTGTTCTTCAAAAATTTGTGTAATGGTTGGGTTCACATTGTGAAGAAGAGAACATTTACCAATAAATTGGTACAAACATTGTAAGCAACAAGGCAACTGCACCATTTATAGTTCTCTTCTTCATGATGAAACAGAACTTCAGAAACTGCATTCCGCTGAAAGAGAAGAATCTGTCTTGAGATGCCAGGATGTGATGAAAAGATGCCATGACAGGAATAACTTTAAATCCCAGTCCAGACCCTACTTTATTGCTTCAGGAATTTAATTACTTCTTAATCTCAGAAAACACAGGACTTTCCAGGATGTTCAGCTTTCTCAACTAATAATCAGTCCAGCTGGCCATCATTGCAAGTATCCAGCAACAAGATTAAAAAATGTTCATTATGTCCAGCTCAGAGACGAGATCAAAGAATATTCAAAACTGAGAACCACACTCTTTTTCTTATTTATATTAGAGGCTGCTTTGAGAATATCTTGGGCAGCAATTGGGAGGCTTTTAGCAAGCACCATTCTACCATTTTTATCAGAGGCCTAAAATTGCCCATAAACTAACTCTGATATGTTTTTTCTGACTCAGCTGGTAATTATTCTGAGCTGTGGAGTATGGGTAAAGTTTCGTAGTAGATGGTGTCGTGTTTTGGGACAATTTTTACATGTGGAAGATCTTTACCACAACACCATTTTATTTTCTAAGCATTTAGATTTCTAAGTATTTGAGGTAAAGGATCTCAAAAAACAGAGATGGATTGAAGAGGTCTCCAAATAACAAGACTGGATTACTGTACAAAGTGCTTTCCTAGATTTATTTTCTTCTTCTATTCTAATATCTTGAGTGGGTGGACTCTATAAAGTCCTCAGCTTTCTAGATGCCTCCAGTACTTGGATGCCTCCAATATCCCTGGTCTGTCTGCAGAATATCTGAAGAAAGATACAGAGACCATCAATGCAGATGGTGCATGCAACAGATCCACATTGGAAACAGGCATATTACATTCATAATGTGATTTTGACTTTTGCTCTGCTTCTTAATGCATGATGGCTTCTTAAGTTCCGTGCACACTGGAGTCTTCAGATTTACAAATTAACTGGACAGGATCAAGACAACACAGGCAGCATGTTTTACATTTGCTGGGCTTACCACTTAGAGCCCAATACAACACATGCCCCCATATTCCTGGCCACAGAATCCTGTAGGGAAGTATGGGCTCCCTAGGGGAGGTGAGAGGGGAGGGTATATGAAGCTGATTCTACCAAGTGCAAAAAGCATTTCATATTTTTCCCTCTGTGCACTTGTAAATCACTTGTTCGCAAGGAATGCATAAATATTCCTTATAGAACTGGAAGGTTAAATATATTAATTGAAAAAAGCCAGTCTTGCAAGCATGTGTATATAATTTTAATTGACTGAGCTACGTAATAAAACCTTCATACTGTCTTATTCTATATGGAAAGAATTGTCTGCCTTACTCAAAATTCTTGCTGGCAGTGTTAGGAGGAGAGGAATTTTGGGGGCAGAGATAGATTGACAGAGTGCTATTTTGGCAGTAATAAATCCAAGATAGTAAATTAACTATTGTTGATAATCTGCAAAGCAGAGGGTGATTCTTCCACATTTAAAAAAATGTTCCATGAAATTACAGGTTTCTGGCTCCATTAAAAAAAAAAAAAGTAGGTTTCTTTTAGGCTTTGGATTCTATAACTTTTTAAATTATATTTTCTGTCTTTTTTTTTTTAAGGGGCCTTATTCAGAATCAGCTTTTTCTCTTCCAACCACCCAATTTGTTCCTATAATTTATGAGAATGTGAATTTAGCTTCTTATAGAGAAGCCATTGTGGAGCTATTCTCATGAAAAATTCTTATGTGTTGTTAAATTGATTTGTGATGAGACTCCAGAAATGAAAACATGGCTCCTCCCTCTCTGTGGCTGAAATTTTGTGGTTGTAACCCAACCAGAGTCACATACAGGACCAACAGGTTATATTGATCTTGTAAACAACGGTGTAGTGTGGGCTTTTTAAGAGACATGGAGGAACAACATCAACAATTCTTTTTTTCATAATTTGTGGATCTTTTTGAAATTACTTGAAGTGTTTCAGTTTATCTTTTACTGATGGAGAGAAAAGCCTCGTTGTAGCAAGCCTTTCTGTTAACTAATACTTACACTTAATCCTGCATCTTTCTGTGTGGACCTAACTGGTAGTGATATGTTGGAGCCAGTGAGTGTGCTGATTGCCATGAACATTTGTTCAGTTTCATGCCATTCAGATCAGGTGTTTAATGGAATCAGGCTCTGAAAAAACATTCCTTTATGTAGCTCTTTCCTGCCAGCACTTTGAGCAAGCAACTCACATTTAACAGCTAAATCACTAGGAAAGCTTGCCACGCACACACAGCTCCCAAAAAAAAATGGTCAGGTTATCTAGTGTCCAAAGCTTTCTGTCAGTCTCTTAAGACTAGCTCTATTAGGGAAATTACCTGTCACTGGCAGTATTTGTTGACTGCCATAATTCCGTAGGCTGCCAATGGTTCACAATGTTTTGCTTCAACTGGTATTCACAAGATTCAGGTAGTAGCTTGGACCAATTCCATGTCTATACTGGGAAGTTTTTAAAGTAGCATTTCCACTGGGAAGCAGCTTCCAGCATTGTGATTTCACTTCATTGGGTGCCCACGGAGGTGCTTTTGTCAGCACAGTACCCCTATGCAGCAAGAAGCTGAACTGGCATAAGATGTGTTGTGCTGCCTGCGGTTGTTACGTGGTCTCCCACACCATCATCTGTGGTGCTGCTCTTGGATGCTTCATTGCAAGGCACAGTAGCAGCCCAGGTGTGCTCCCCTGTCATGCTGTGATCATTTAACATACCCTGTGTACGGGAATATGTTTTTGCAGCTAATAGGTATGCTTTTTCTATCTTAAATACCCTACCTGCCCCCCTAGTCCCTGCCATAGTTAGCTCTTACTTTACACCGTGTAGTGTCTCTTCATCAGAAACAGAAAAAAAAGTACAGAGAAATTGCTGGTAAATTTAGCCAAAAGGTACTTCAGTAGCAAATACTGCTACGATGGTGAATATTGCAGTGGGCTTTAGGTTGCTCTAGTTTGGAGGAAGGACAGATGGTTGCCCATGCCTGGCTGCAGATAACCTTTTCCTGGGGACAGAGTCACCAGGTCTGGAGAAACCTGTGCTATCACTGCAGCCTGGGCACAACTTAGAAAATACTTGCCTGAAATCTTTATCATGGCTGTGGCAGAGAACAGCTATGACTGGGAAGAACAACTCATGCTACCTTATGCTGGAAACCCAGTCATAGTCCAGCCTTTTTACTCCTGATCAACCACAGCCTTGAAGAAATTTGTTTTAAACTCTAAGATCACAGTACTGGGAAACTAAGTCATTGTATTTCCTTACACATTTCAGTGCTTTTCTCAGGGAAAAATACAAGTTACCTTGTTTTTGCAAGGTTAAATAGTCTCAGTTTTCATTTATACAATTGGGGTTTTCCTTTACCATGTACTGATTCATTAAATATTCTCTCTGCTTATTCTGCCAGAATGTGCATTCAGTTGTTTTCCAGTATTTTCTTCCTCACTGCATGTAAACATAAAATAATAAATTCAAAAGGGAATTCCTTTGTTTTCACCTCTGCACTTGCCTTGATGCTGCTCTGAGAGACAGGTGTGGAGAGAGTGATTTTTGGGGTACATGAGCAAAGTGAAAACAACAAAAAAGGCTACTTTCCTCTGTCTTAGTAGTTGTTCCTCAGCCCTTTCTTGGTAAGCTACTCCACTGGCTTAAGTGATGTCTCATCGCCCTGTAGGATCTCTACTCTGTGTACTCTGCTAAGGTACCTCATCTCTTAGTTTGGGATGCCGTCTACTATCGGATATTGTCACTTGGGTTGTGATTAGGATGTTCTGGTCCATATAAGATTTAGCAAACAGTAGAGGATAGTATTGAAGGCAGCCGCGGTGTTGTTGGTGGTCCTTCTGGACATGTGGTAGGGCAGCCTCCACTCCTTCAGCTTCGCCCATGAGTGTGGCTCATGCCAACTCTCCCTAAACCTTGACATTACCTCTGCAGTATCTATATGAGATGTTTTTATTCACAAAGTGGTTTCCTATCTGTCATCTTGCACTGTCTGTCATCTCCACCAGCTGAAAGATGTCCAGGACTGCTCTTTATTGAGGCTACAGTATAATTAAACTCCTGAGCCTTTCCTTAACTGTGCTTTAGCCTGGTGAATATCCAGTCTGTCACAAAGTCTGACTTGCGAGGATGAATAGAAGCTTTCCAGAAACAGGCTGAGGAGTTGGAAGATGAGGTGAACTTTTCACCCTTTTCATCTTGGGTAGCAACATTCAAAACTGTGACCTGTGAAATCATGTTCTTGAAGACGGATCTATATTGGGGTTACAACTAAAGCAATGTTTATTCTGCTAGGACTGCAGCATCCATGCAGGCATTTTAGTCTAGAAAGATATTTTACCGGTGACAATGGCCTTTGTGAAACTGATTTAAATTCTAGGATTTTATCAATAAATTTTAATCATTAGCTCCAACGTATTTACTAACATAATGTAAGACTCATAGGTAGAATTTTATTCTGTAAACTAGGCCTAAAAAATACTTTTTTATAAAGAGACTGGAAGATGTGACAACCAAGCAGTGAGAGATCATTTTCATGTTGTAGACAGCCTATCGAATTTGTTCTCAGGGTTCATAAAATACTTAAGAGCATATATTTGGCTGCCATTCATTATCGACGCAAGCTACCGGACACAGATGTCAGTAAAAACAATTAAGTAGCTGGATTATTAGGGAGTGTTAGTAATCAATGTCTTACCTGCTGACTGCCTGATTCAAAGAACTTGGTTACAAGATTTAGGGTCAACTAATTAAGATATTGAGAGTGAGTCCTGTAATGCTTTTTGTTTAATCACCCAGAGCCTTTCCTTATTTGGAATGTGTACAAGAGCAACCTCATAGAAAATTACGAAACTGTTAATGCTAGTTTAAAATTTTTGTATGCATTACTGGGGAGTCTGGGGGAAATAATAACAATATTTGAGTTTGGGTTGACCTCTTCAAGAAATTTGGGATTTTTACAGCTGTGTGGAAAATGTAGAAAGTATTTCACTATTTACGAAACTGCTTTCTGTTCACTAGTTCTAAAAATGTATATCTTAAGAAGTATTTGCTACCTCTTCTACAACAGGAAGCTATAAAAGATTTGCAGCCTTTCTCAGACAAAATTCCCAAGACAAGGAACACAACTATGTCATACCTGGGTTTCTGAAAGTGTCATTTGGGAGCAGCAAGGATTATCTAGTTATTTTTTATGTGCTTTTTTTTTTTTTTTCTTCCCTTTGGACAGAAAACAACACTTGAGAAAAAACTGTTGTCAAGAATTGGGACTACAGCTTTAGGGAAGTCATTAACCATTTTTATTTGGTCAGTTATCAATGCTATTGCCTGCTTGATGAGGGTTATTTCTCTCCTTCTGCTTTCAGCGGCCGTGTTCCCCAGCACACAGACAAGTCAAAGTGGAACAGCAACTGGGGCAGTGTCCTTGTCCCACACCAGCAGCCACCCCTCCCCGGGACATAACGTACAGGGTAGTCCTCTCCATCCTCCCCCACAGTTACCTCTTCTCTCAGCTGTGGACTCAGAGAGGTAAGATCAGCCCCTGCTTTTCCCATGATGAGCCTAGGGCAGGACTGCCTTCAGAGCTGGGGTGGAAAATGAATCATCAGTGTGCAGACAGTCACTGGTGGCAGCCCCTGGGTAACAATTGGTCTGGGTATGGGTTTACCACAGAAAGAAGTGAAAGGGACGCTGTTATCCCACTGTGAGCAGTGGGGCTTTCCATCCCAGGGACTTCCTCCAGTCCCCTCTTGATCTCCACCAATGGCCTGAGCAAGGAAAGTCATACTGGCTGGGACAGTAAACTTCAGAGAAGCCCAGCCATTACTTACAAAATGAGGTCTCTGAGATTCATGTTTCTGTTTCCTTGTGTACTTGTGGTAGGAGAGTCATATTCTGTCAATATTATCTCAATACTAAGTATTTCTGCAGGAGCTTGCCTTTTTTTTTTTTCCTTGGCATTTTGTTAGGACCAATAGACAATGAAAGAATTTTTAATTCACTGGTTTGAGAGCTTGATTTATAGTCAGGATTTATTTTATGCTGGCTAGATACAAACCCCTTGACCTTTGCTGTTGCCATGATTTTAGATATTTCAGTGATGTGAAAGCAGATTGTTTGGAAGTGGTTTAATTTTCATGCTTAGACATTCGCTAAATTATTTTCAGCAATCTTTCCAATTATTTTTATCGTGTATAATGTTGTAGATTTCCACTTAGTTCATTGTACCAGAAGTCTACCAGATTGCAAGACTGAAGAGGTCTAAGCAAATAGATTTTCAGTAGAAAATCAGGAAGGTACCCCATCACACAAAATACTGAATTCTTATTATATGTGTATGGATACTTAAACATTACTTTGTTAATCTCCCCATTTTTCAGTGCTCTAAATGATGAATTGCTGTATTTCATTAATGTATTTCAAAATGTTTAATTTCCTTGAGTGACAGAAATGCCAGTAATTTGGAGAGCACAAAGTGTCCAATTATAAACCTGAAAAGAACATTCACTAGATTTCAATTACAGATAAATGAGCATAATTTATGTGGAGGAAAGCAGTACTCACTCTGCCATGTATCAGGAAGATGGAAGAGTGTGATGGCTCAGGGAACTGACAACAGATTAAAATACTTTTTGATTTCAAACTGCATGTGTGAATTCAGCCAGTTCTGGAGCCTCTGGAAGTTGTTGAGCTTTTTGTACACCAGTCTGAGATGAAACTTGCCATTTCATGATCATTGGAGCTCATCTAGTAGTTCAGTTCTTCTTCTCTGCTTCTGGCTACACAGTCCTGACCTTTCTTCTCTTGCCCCAGGTCTCTGTGAAAACTCTGGGACTGCCCATGGCTCTCTTGCCTGACCCAGAGGCTGTTCCTTCCCAGTATGGTTTTCTCTCTAGTGCGTGAACTGTTCAACATCCATATCTGACACTTGCCAGAGCAGGAGGTGACAGACAGGGACAGATCAATAGTTATTACAGGTAAAAATTTCATTATGAAAGACAGTGATCTTCTCATTTGCCCATTTCTGCATCAGTTACTGGTATAGAACTGTAGCAGATGCGTTTAGAGTATGTCTTAGCTCATTAAGTCCTTGAATGCATTGCAGACCTCAGGATGCTACAGTACTTTACAAAATAACAATAATAAAAAACTAGTGTGATACACTCCTTGCTCATATGTTAACCTGACTCTAAAAAGGATTTAATTGTCAGTTACCATATGTGGAGCTACTTTGGATTGAAAAAAAAAGGTGCCAGTATCTTCACTGACAAATACCATCGACAAATGGCAATTTATATTCAGAAAAGGAAAAAAAGTGTTGCAGCAGTGTTGGTTCGATTACAGAACATATAATACAGATTAAGGTAAATATTTAAAAGAAAAACTAATGCAGAATCTGCATCCTGAATCTAATACAGTCCACTGACCTAGGGGCCTTGCATGCAGGCTGTCATTTATACCACTTCATGGGTGTGATGTTAGCTGTGAAAATGTGAACCAACACTTCAGTATACAAAGTGCCAGAGACAGTGTTTTTGAAAGGTGTGAATCACCTTGTTTATCCCAATCTCATCATGGAAAGCACTGCAGGATTTAGGGGTGCAAGCAGGGGATTTGTTCCCCCCATGCTTTGTGTTTCCTGGTGCCCTCTGGGGTCATTCCAGAGCTAGGACTGGCTGACCAGCCCTTGCCCCTGCGATAGCCTGCCTGTCTTGGTCTGAAGCTGATCCAAGCTGGCCTGGCTGCTTTGGCAACTCTAGGGGACAGTCATGTGCCCCTTCCTTTTTTGACAGCAGGCTCAGGCTTGTGAGTAACAGAAGCAGAAGGAAATAAACACTTTAGATCTCCAGGTACCATGGGGTAGGGAAATAATTGCAGGGCTTCTTTTGTGTCTTTCTTCACCTAAGTGATGGGAGGAAGAGTGTGGACTTGATTAAGCCTTATCAATGTGAGAAACTGAAGCAAACATGAGACACATCCTACACTGCTTTCTTCTGTGTACAAAACTCAATGTACAGAGAGTGCAAGTCACATAGAGAGTTTGGACACAAGAAGAAACTTCATTTATCAAAGGAAAGAATATGCATAATAAAAATTGAGATTTACATATTGTTTGTTCCAGCTCTTTGATACTAACTTTCAGTGCTCCCCTAATATGAAATACTGCAACTGTTCAATTAAGGTACCAAATAGTAATGGTACACAAAAGCATCTGTATAAAAGGGAATATGTACTTGCCTTCCTTTTCAGTCATTTGTGTAGTACTGGAAGATATAGCCATTCAAGGAAGCTGAAAAAAAAAATCTAATTAAAAACCAGATAGAAAATTTTGGTTTTATATGACATAATTAACATCTGCAGCTCAGTGCCCCAAAACTGGTTGTGCCAAATGCTTGAAATTTCTGATTTTTAAAATTTTTTAATTATTTATTGAATTACCAAACATATACATTTTGCTTTCTAAAGCTTGGTTTGGTGCAAGAAGTAGGCTGTTAACTATTGTGAGACCAGAGCAGAATTTTTCATTTGGACTTAATGTTCCAGATGATTCTTCACCTTCCTGTGAACCAGAGCTAGTGGTATGTCCCTGAAGCATGATGCATCCTGGTTCAACAGAAATTTCTAGAAACTATATAAAGCTGGAAAGAAGGATTTAGGGCTGAACTGTTCAGCTGAGCATTACTGTAATGCTATAATAAGTTCTGCAACAGTGCTTCTTTTTGCTTATTTGAGTGTGTGGTTATATTCCTTTTATGCTTTTGCTGTAAAATAATAAGTAGCTCCAAGCTAGACTTTCACAAGAAAAAACCTCTGAGTAGTTCTAACCAAAGACTAGAGACATCCAGTCTTCACATATTACAAAGCCCTTTGTATGTGGCATACAAGGGCCTGCCTCGAAATAGTCTTTAGTCAAAGACCTTAACAGTGTGGTTTTGAAATCAGTACAGTAATTTCTTTCCAGGCGTGAGACACTTCAGAGGATTGTCTGCTAAGACATTACCACTTTTTTTGTTAATGAGCAAATGACACATATAAATGACAGACACTAAGGAGTGGAGGTGGCAGCAAGTCTAACCCTGAACTCATGCCATAGAAACACAGAATCATGGAATCATTTAGGTTGGAAAGGACCTTTAAGATCATTGAGTCCAACTGTTAATCTAGCACTGCCAAGTCCACGACTAAACCATGGCCCTAAGACCCATGTCTACACGTTTTTTAAATACCTCCAGGGATGGTGACTCAACCCCTTCCCTGGGCAGCCTGTTCCAGAGCTTCACAACCCTTTCAGAGAAGAAATTTTTCCTAATATCCAATCTAAACCTCATCTTGCGCAACTTGAGGCCATTCCCTCTTGTTCTATTGCTGTTACTTGGGAGGAGAGACCGACACCCACCTTGCTACAACCTCCTTTCAGAGTCAACCTAGCAAAGCTTAAAATTGATGTGGCCATTCACAGCTTCCTTCCTTAAATTCCAATTTAAATTCCACTTAAGTTCTCCTTTCTTCTTCTTACCAAAGAGCGTGTGGTGCTGGTCAGAGTGGCTGTCCTGGGTTGAGTGAGTGGTGGAGTTTTTTGGTGGCAGGGGAGGGGGCTATAGGGGCGGCCCCCTGTGAGAAGCTTCTCGAAACTCCCCCAGCTCCAAGTCAGCTCCACTTCTGTTTGGGAAATTGAGCCAATCAGCTGCGCCTCTGCGATAACGTATTTAAGAAGGGACGTGGTGACGGGCAGTGGGACTTGTGAGGAGGAGTTGCTGCAGCTGCGTGAACACCAAGGTCAGTGGAGGAACGGAGGAAGAAAGGAGGGGGGAGGTGTGCCGGAGCAGAGACCCCCCTGTATCCTGTGGGGAGACGGCAGGGCGGCCCCCCCTGCCACACATGAAGATCTACGGTGGAGCAGACATTGCTTTATGGCCTGTGGCTTCCGCCTAGTTGATCAAGGTGCTGTGCCCGAAGAAGGCCGCGGTCTTGTGGGAAAAGGTAGCCCCGCTGCTGTAATTCAGCACTGGGAGGATTGCAGCATGCGGGGGTGTCCCACGCCGGAGCAGCTCGGGAAGGTCTGCAGCCGTGGGAGGGAATCCAGTTAGAGAAAGTTAGTGACCCATGATGGAGCAGTGTGGGGAATGCTGCGGCCCATGGGAGGAATTCAAGTCAGAGAAAGTTTGTGGAGGACTGTCTCCTGTGAGAGGGTGACCACGATGGAGCAGGAGGAACAAGTTCCGGAAACTCCCCTCACCGAAGATAAAGAAAGCGGCAGCACTGACTGCACCCCCCATTCCCTGCCCCTGTGCCACTGGGGGGAGGGGGTAGAGATATCGGGAGCAGAGCTGAGCCCGGGGAGAAGGGAGGGGTGGGGGAAGGTGTTCTCAAGATGTGACAATGCTTCTCACTGTCCTACTCTGTTATGTGTTGTTAGTGTCTGTAATAAATGTATGTTCCTTTTTTTCTTCCCCTAATGAGTCTGACTTTTGCTCGTGATCATAGAGGGGAATTTTTCCCCATCCCAGTCCTGTCTTGAACCCCAAGCC